GTTGTTGTTGTTGTTGTGGTTGTTGTTGTGGTTGTTGTAGTTGTGGTTGTTGTTGTCGTTGTTGTGTTTGTTGTTGTTGTGGCTGTTGTTGTTGTGGTTGTGGTTGTCGTTGTTGTTGTTGTTGTTGTTGTTGTTGACGTTTGCCCTTTGCTTGTTCGTTTGATTTGGTGTGGTGAGGCGGGCGGGATCGGAGAAACGCCAGTCCCAATGGTGAAAAGAGGCGCTGGCGCTGCCTCATCTCTTTAACCATTTTCACATGCTTAACAGGTGGGCATGGCAAGGCTAGACCACTATTGATGGATCACCGAAGCTTAGTGCTCCTTTGATAGTCTCATCGTCCGAGACATGTCCTGCCACAAAAGTGTGTCTCGTTTTGAGTGAGGTTTCTATGCTGTAGGCTCTCAGTTCGTCCCCAACACGGTCCATCTTCATTCCATCACCGCCACCCATCTTCACATCTGCTTCCACCATCCTTGAACCAGAAGACCGGCCACCACCAGACAAGTATTGCCCAGCCTATATAGTCCACCCCATGTCCCACCATGCCACTTTCGGTCCGGGCGGGTGCCCTGATGGGCCCCGCCTGGAGGTTGGACCCCAAAGTCTTCGCCAACGCGGCCCGCTTCGACGGCACTGGCTTCACTTCCGAGGACGGGCATGGTCTAAGGATGACGGTGGCGGTGGGGGGGGTTTGGGCGGGGCTTGGTAGTGGTATAGACATGTGGAAATAGAATGTGGTAAAAGTAGGGTTTGGGTGGTTCACATCCATTTGGAGGATGGTGTGAGACTTGATAAAAAATCAATTGTTCTTGGTGGCAGCGTTTTAGCATCTTGTTCATGTTGTGAGACACGTTGAACTACTTTGGCAGTGTGTTGGTTTTCGAGTTCTTGTGGTTTCCTGGGGCATGTTGGGGGTACCCATCTCAGGATCGACCTATCTCTTATAGGCCTTCAAAACAGCCTTCAGATGGATGTGGCGAGTGCCTCCTTTTCTCCAACTGCGCAGGTCGATGACTTGGTGCTCTTCCACTTCTTCGATGGTCCGCTCGCCCGTGTCGTGACGCCGTGGCTGCCGTCGGTGTCGGATGCGAAGCACTGGGTCAATGGCGGGGCATTCTGCTTGACCACCGAGAATGAACAGCATAGAATACTAAGGAGATCAATCCACCAGAGTTTAGAGCTCCGGATTTTCACCCACAGCCATATAGTATATACTACCATACTTGCCATGGTTGGGCCAACAGGCAGGACCAGATCCTGAGTCGCCCATCTGCCACAGTGGCTCAACAAGTGTCCCAGAAACCCAGGTTTCAGAGTCGGCCCATGAAGGTGGTGGAAAGGAACATGAAGGAACTTCAATCAGTGCGACCCTTCGAATCCAATTTGCCGGTTTTTCATGGCCACCGCCTGCGTGGCCATCGCCCAGGTTGGAACTCCAACTCTCCGGAGGGAGTGGCTGAGAAGCCCAGTGAGGGTGGACATGATCTGTTTTTTTTGAGAAACAACATGTATAATAGATTTATAAAGGTTGGGGTCTGTCGGACCTGTAGAGCTGTAAACGTTAACAAGCAAATCACTATTCTAGAGGAAGGCCAGGCCCCATCACCCTGGGAGTCCAGAAGACCCATTTTGAAAATGGTCTGACTAGGATTCGAGTCAACAAATGTTCTTTATGTCTATATAGACTCGGATAGACCCAAATATCATCTTTCGAGGTCTTCTGTCACAGCATGGCACAGCCGGTCTTTTCTTCTTCTTTTGAACGTGAACACCTCCACGTCGTCGTCGTCGTCGACTGGTGATCCCTTTAAACCATGCGGCCACTCAAAGGACCGGCGATTTTTGTATGGCCCACAGACCACATGACGCGCACATGAAGATCCACAGACCACTTGGCCGCTGAATCATGTATGACGTGAATTCATCAAGAAGATCCACAGATCGCCGCGGAATCGGATTGAAGAGCTGGGTCTCGGCCATCCGGGGGCTGTTTCAGAGGCCTCGCGCGATTCGCGATTCGCGAGCGGCACGGGGACCGAGGAGCAATGGGCCACGGCGACCTACCGAGGTCGGAGCACGTGAGTCAGCGAGGGCGCAAGCTGGAAGGGGCAATGTGGAAAGGCTGAATTGGTATGTAGAACATGGTAGAACCATGCCTGGTGCATGTGGGATCATGTTGGATCCAATTTCCTTGAGTTTAGTATTAGAGTAGGCTTGGCCATGGTGGACGACTTCTGGGCCTGGATGACTGGACCTGAGCAGGTCTGGACGTAGCTTCTCCCGTCGGCCAGGTCTGGACCTTTTTCCACTGCTCTATGGCGACCCCCAAGTCGCTCGGGACACGATTGCCAGGCGCGTGGACCGAGGTGGGACGGCGGGGGGGGAAGGAATGACTCGCTTGCGGGGTCGAGTCGTCCTAGGACGACTCTCCACGAAGGGCCCCAATCAATGGCCTGTTTGCGGGGTGGCTCCTTGCGTCCTGGCCGATTTGGCCTATTTGGTGCCCTCAGGTGGCCCTCAGGTTCCACAGAATCCTCCCCCCTAGATGCTTCGATCCAGCATTCCCACCCATCCCACCCGTCCCGCATTCGCTGCGCTGCTCGGCGCGGAGGTCGAGGCTCCCGGAGGTCCAAGAGCTCCGCAGCTGCTCTGCGCTGGCCGGGGCTGGGGGAGAGGTAGGTGGGAGAACGAAGAACATCAAAAGAACATCCAGTCGATCTCTTCTGTTTTCTTTCTTCATTGACTACCCTACCCTTCTGTTTTCTATGTACCAGGATCATCCGTTCCTTTGGGTGTCCTGGCGTTCGACTACCCTACCCTACGTTTACGGGATCTTACAGGTCTCCAGACAGGGCCCCCGTTGGAAGTGCGTTGGTAAAGGGCAGTTGATGATGTAAAGTTAATCATATGAACTTCTGAACAAAAAGGATGAACTTATAGATTCAGATGTTCAATGATGTTCATATTGAATCATGATTGCTGTTTATGTCTTTTTTCTGGACGGGTGGGTGGCATTCTGTTTTCTTTCTTCATTGAGCACCATGTGCCAGCACCCAAATCAAGGCAGGTCACCCATCTGCCATCTGTTTTTGTCTCCACTCAAGCGATCCAAACTCGGACCTGCTGAACCGTGTGACTGTCCTTTCCGCCGACGTGGCGTGAACCCGACGGATTTCCACCACCGTCGGTCGGTCACGGTGTCGCCGCCCTCTTCGGTGATGCCAAGAAGATGTGGAGCTGCGAGAAGAACCGCCCTTCGCAAACGAAAAGCAGTCTGCGGCGTCAAACGAATTCCTCATTCCTCAGGAGAATCTGGTGCTTCTTCCTTTTAGACCGACGAAAACAACCCAAACCCTCGAACTCTCTTGTGATTTCTCAGGTTCGACACACCCGAGGTATTCCTGCGCCCGACCACACCCTTGGGCCAGGCAGAGTTCGGCTTGGGCACCAAGGTCATCAGCAGCCGCATTCAGGTGACGATCTAAGGCGTGCCCCGCGCACTTCGTGCGGGCACTGTGTGGACGCGGTGGTGGAAGTGGTGGGATCCTCTATGGTTTTTGCAGGGGCTTTCTTTAAAGAGACAATGTTTATAAAGAACGAGATGACCTGCTAGAAAACAAGGGCCAAGGTCGATCTGGGTTGGCATGGGTTGGCCTTGTGATTTGTGCATGTTGTGCAGCAAGCGGGTGTTGGCTTGTGGTTTGCCTAGCCTAGAGCTTTTCTTGTGCGCAACCAACAATTCGATGGCGCATGAGCATTGATTCAGCAACAAATGAGTCAAAGGGTTAAGTCAAAAGACAAAAGGAGTTGGTCGGAACTTGTCAGAAGTTTGACTCACACATGTTGTTACACAAAAAAACCGTTGGAATCCTTTGGACGCTTTGCACCGGACGACCGCAGGGCGTGGACCACGTTGTTCCGGGCGGCGTGACCGGCGGAGATGCTCCGCCCGGTCGCGGCGTGCTGCGCGGTGTGGGTCATGGCGACGCCCGGACGAAGGGGTGTCAGAGCTCGGATGTTGGGGTAATTGTCTTCGCGGGGGGTTCCATGACCGAAAATGCCCCATGTCTTCGGTGTGCGCCGACTATTTACAAACGTGCCGCGCGCGTCATGTTGGTGGGGGTGGCGGTATTCAAGAGTGACGTTTCTACCGTGTAGCACTTCGCCCTGTGGTGAGAGGAGCACTTCGCTAATGGGTTATAAGTTTATAGCCTATATCAAAGATGCATGTAATTAGTTGAAGTCCAGGAAGTGTGGGTGGCAGCGCGTTTTTGAGGTGTCATTTTTTTGTTGGTCCCAAGCTGTTCACGGCACACCCGGACAACATTCGAAGTGGATGGCGCGGGTTCCTATTTGAGGATATCATGAACCCTCATCATCCGCGGTCCATCTCTCCATCTCTCCGCTGACCTCGGCCATTCGGCAGATTCGGAAACCGTGGATCCGCAGGCGTTTGTCACGCGGTTTTCGCCAGAAAGCACTGGCGGAACAGAGAAATCACCGAGCAGAATGACCTGAAATCACTTCACCACCGAACTGCAGTGCGTGCAAATCAGTGCTATCATTTCATCCTCATGTGATTCTGATTTGCACGCACTCCTGACGCGCAGATTCATTTGAAGCGCGTTCACTTCTACGTCACTTCTAGTCTGGGACGTTGGTCGAAGTTCTGCGATGCGCTGACCGGTCAACAAGGATTGCAATGCCATTCAAAAATGGTTGGCCCGACTGGGCTTGAAGATTGTCCAGCGGAGTGCACGTTGGGACATCCGAGATGAGATAAGACACAGATCATTGACAGCTTAGGCCGGTGAAATTGACTTGGGTGTGGAGCTCAAATAGGGAGACCTGCCAGTTTGACCCTGTGGAAGAAGGAACATAGATCAATCTACTTATTGGTTGGGAGGTTTCCCTATTCCAGTACCAACACACCCACCTGGACCCATTGCTTGCAGTTGAATCATCGATCGGAGGGCTGACCTAAGACTGCAGTTCGCAGCACAAACAAATTCACCATCCGCTCAATGACCCACGCAGGCCTTGATGTTGGGCCTAGCTGCATGGCAGATCCCTCGCAACGTGCGCGCGCGCTGCGCCTCTTTGGACCAACGCATGGCAGATCCCTCCGGCGCGCATGGCGACACGCCAGGGTCGACTGACCGTGGCCACGGTCTAGAGCGGTGCGATTCCGGAGTCACTCAGAACAATCAGGGGTATTGGCAACCTTCCGCAAAGTGTGATGTTAAACAGGAAAGAGGGATAGAGTCTAGAGTGCTGATGACACCTTAAAGGTTTCACGTCCGTACGGGCCCCCCGTCTTCGTGTGGGCAGGCCCACACGAAAGGGCGTTTCGAGCGTTTCAAAAGTCGAAAAAAAGTTGTAGCGGCCTTTTTTCAGCCATGGTCGGCACGCTCTCAGGTGTTTCGCGTGTGGTGGCGATACACCCACTGATACACTCTATTCCACAGCCGTGGGTTCACCAATCCTTTGGACCGGTTCTTGCTTTGTGGCGAGATGAATTTCTTCATCCACGACCACAGCCAATCTAGCTGCTGGGTGCCACTGCTTCGAGTTGACCATTGGCCCTCTTAGTCCATTGACTCTTCACATGCTTGACGTGTTTCACAGTCAAGCGCTTCGAAGGGTACTTGGCAGCAGCGGCCGACCGTGCAAGTGCACCATCTGCACACAACAAAGAACCTGCTCGAACATTCCGAAGCAAGCCTGAGGTCACTATCTCAGCACATAAAAGTCTTTTACTTTTACACCGAGAATCGGGTCCTCCCACGAACCAGCGGCCGAGATGGTGTCTGCGGCGCGCTCTTGTCTGACATCCGGATGCCAAACTCAAAAAAAGCAACGCCCGACGAACACGCGACTCGACGAAACATGACGAAGCCACGAACCGACGAAAGCACGAAACGACCCAAACACGAACCGACGTCATTTGCCCCCCCCACCCCCTGAATGATTGTTGGAACCCTGTCTGCTTCAAAAACGTGCAAATTCACGGGGGCCCGTACGGACCTGACACCTTAAACAAGAGCACCCCGCGTATCAATCCCTCGCCGACACAGAGGACAAAGACGTACAGTGCTGTGAATGGTACTGCCTGGCGACCTGGGGATCTTTCTGCGGACACCAGTGGACAAGAAACCTGGTTCTTCGAGAAGGATGGTCTCCCCGAAGCCTCGTCCCTGTTCCTCCTGTTAACCTTGCTTCTTTGACAGCATGTGATTTTCCCCCGTGGGACAGTCACAGCTGCTAAATATGCGTCAATTGATGCAAACTGCAGCTGCATACCTCTCCCAAAACCTGATCGGGCACGCATCATCGTGGCCATCCCCACGACCGCCATCCCCACCGGGGCCTTCCGTGAGCCGACCCGACCGAAGACCCCACGCCCGCGCCGCGCGTCGACGACCACCGACGACACCCAGGAGAGTCGCGGACGCGGTGAACGGCCACGGAGACGGCGAGGCGTTCGTTGCTGGCGTCGACTCGGGCTGGAGCGTGTTTTGGGTATCGTCCGCCTCTAATGTTGTATAGAATGAATCCTGAATCTATGGCATCTATGGCTTTTCCACATATTTCGTCCATATTTGGAAGTCCCACATGCAGAAAAGCATCCATGAAGATCATGGGGGGTTCAAAAAGGAAACACATCCATGTCATCATGAAGAGGTTTTGAGCATCCATATGAGGTCCATATGTCTCAATCAGTTCGCAGGGTTGGTGTTTTGGGTGTTTTGGGTGGTGCAGTCATGCTTCCAAGGTGTGGATTTGGAGTATTTTTAGAGAAGAGCGAAGGGGTGAACAAAGAGGTGATCTCACTCAGGTGAAGATCGCAGGTGGAATCCTTACTGAACCCCAAAGTCTAAGACAGAGTTCACTAAGGTTAGATCACAGGTGGTCACCTTTCACAGGTCACGCCCAAACATATACGAGTCTTTTCTGCTGAAGGTAAAGAAGGCAAAGGGGCAGTTTATGAGGAAGATGATACCAGAAGACTAGGGCTGGCTGACCCCCATCAGAGCAGACCGAACCGCACCCTCAACATGTGCGATGACGTCTCAGAGTCTTCATACAAGAGCGTTGGAATTCATATATGCTGCTCCAAGACCTGGGCTTTTACGATAGGGGATTCACTCAAACAAGGTTTGAACACATTGGAAAACGATATAGAGGATGCAAAAGCGAAATCTGAGGATGCAAGAAAGCCGCACAGTTTTCCGTTGTGATGTTGATCGGTACCTCATATGTGTCCGCCATGGCAGCAGGGTTGACCTTCGCTGCTTCTGGAAGCATTTCCCTGACACGTGACATGTGTCCAGTGCCTGGAAGGCCGATATATTCCTGGGTTTTGCTTAAGAACATTTTTTTCTATATGTTCCTTATGGTTCAATCCTCAATCCCCTTCTGGGGAATAAATTTGTGTTTTTTCCAGGTTCCTTAAGCAACTCCACGAGTTCTTGGTGTTTTGGAAGAACATCTGGGACAACTTATTCAGCATACCCTTGGCTGAGCTAGAACGCCCGCAAGTCTCCGGGATGGAGGCACCCCCATTTTGTTTGGCTTAGATACAGCGATCCAGAAATCTTTCTTTGTGAGGCTTTCTTTCTACTGAGGTTTTTGAGTGTGCACCACGTGGTATGCTTTTTAGGGCTTTCCCTTGAACGTGTGCTCAAAACGAGTAGTTGCAAAGATGTACGTATAGTGCGTGATTTGGACATCAATTTGGACGTTCTTGTGTTGAGTCTTCTAAAACAGATAAGGTATATACGGAAGAGGGGAAAGCAACGTAGGTTCATGTTGTGGGAAAAGGGCGGCGGCGAGTTGCTGCGATTGTTGTTGGACAGATCACCCCCAATCATGAAGCTTGAAAGGAAAACAACAGACATGTTTAAATTTGTTTGTTTTGTGAAAGCTACAAGTTCACCCGAACACGATATCCAAGTTCAAGATGTGGGGTTTCGGGCATGCCGGTTTGGTCCGTCAGACAGAGGCTTAGCCTCTGCCCCCACGGCGCTCACATGGCTCGTTCGGGCCGAGAATCTGCACCGAGTCGCACGGACGCACGGTGGCGGTCGCATGGTCAGACCTGGAGGAGTCTGGTGTGCGACCGCTCGTTCGGGCAACGGTTCAATCGAATAGAGGACTCCAGGACCTGTCCTTCGCTCCAAAGACCCTGCACCGAGACCGGGTCCACGGGGGATTTTTTTCACTCACTCTGAGTGGATGTGCACCGACCGGTCTCTCTTTCGGCTCGAGCCGCGGGAGATTCCCCCACGGCCCAACCGAACCGTGGTGGTCCCGAGAGCTGCGAACCGCGCTCCGCCGGATGCAGCGATGGAGCTTCTTTTGGCTCCTGGTGGCGAAGCTCGCAGTGGCCGAGCTCGACTGTGACGGCGTTACCTGTGAGGTGGAGTCGATCCACCTGCTGCAACATGCGCATACGCGGGAAGTGAGGAAGAGCAAGGCGAGGGGGTAGAACGCGTGGGGGGAAAAGGTCTTCGGTGCACCGGGGAAGGGAAGTGCCCTGGGGGAATTGCACCTCCTGGGGGTAAGTGGTGGGGACTTTGATGATTTTTGGAGGTTGAGTTGATGTATTAGGAGGAGAAAAAGAACAATAGCAAGTCCAGGTGTGTGATGGTTTGTCTCCGGAGAAACGAGCTCTCCAAGGTCATCCGGAGAAACGGGCTGTGCTGTCTCAAGACCGACCAACGACCGGCCGATTCGGGAAGACCTTGGGGGGGTCAAAAGCTCGCAACTTGGGTTGATTGACCCCGTTACAAACACATAAAAAGCACGACCAGACCGTTACAAACACAAAAAGAAACACAAACAGATTCCTCGGTTTTTCACGAAATGTCCACTTCCCATGGTATTTTGGTATACGGTGAGGTTGAACTTCCCCACACCCCGACGTCAACCCATGGACCTTCCCCGAGGCCCCCTCCGCTCGTCGACCCGATCGACCGATCGACGTCGCTCCGCGGCGACGTCGCGGAGCGACGTGCGAGGCTCCTGAGAGGCCGGAGGCCTTGGCAAGTCCGTTTGCCGAAGTCTTTGTCCTCTCGATCAACGAGGAGAAGTACAAGCTCTCCAAAGCGGAGCTCAAGGACTGGAGAAGAATGGGCACGTGACTGGAACTGGGAGTGGACGTGAAGTGGGAGAGAGTGGGATGGCTTAGTGTTGGATGGCTTCTGTAGCTGGGCACTTACCAGCCCAGCAGCAGTTTGGGGACTCGTTCGGTGAGGCGCGTCGCTTCCGCGTGTTTGTTCGAACATAGAGGTGGCACACAGAGGGTTGGACCACGTTTGACCCATCAATGTGGTGTGTGTCAGTCGAACTGGTATTTTTCTGGTTGAGTACTCTTCCGGTGATGCCACAAAACCAGTGTGGGGGGATGAGTTCGGGCAGGATGAAATCCAGGTGACCCCATTCGACTTGCGGCAAGATGCGACACTTGCGACAAAGATCAGTTTGAGGCGCACGAGTTTATGAGTTTATGCTCTGTCCCAAGGAGACCGCGGGAGACCGGAGACCCAACAAGTGATACAAGTGCCACCTTTAGCAGCAAGTTTGCCGCTGAAAAGGTCGAGGAATGACTTGCAACATCTGGTTCCAGCATGGGCTGGCCACCATGGCCACCATGGTGGCGGGTTCTGCAGCATTCTCCCAAGCAAAGTCAAGAGAGCTCCCAAAGCTCTCGCCAACGCTCTCGAACAGAAGAATAGAACACATTCACACATGACATGACCAAAACAGTCTATACCGCTTCTTGTTTTCGGTTTTCCAGGACCAGGGCATTGTGGCGGTGAGCCGCGTGAAGGGCTTCAACGCCTCGAGGGACTCGGAGCTCTCAGAAGCTTTGGCTCTTTTGACGGAATACGGAAACGCCAATAGCCCCTTGGCACAGTGTCCTTAGGGTGGCCTTGCCATGCCGCGCACTATATAGACATGCCCAGACGTATTAGACATGTGGCATGCCTCGTCGCAGGCCTCCGGTGGGTTTTGGAGTCCGGTAGGGCTTTTTGGGTGGTCTTGGCCGCCTTTTTCAGGCCATGGAGGGGGTCAGCTGGGGTGTAGCATTCTGAACAAGCACCACCTGAGCTGCCCCAGTTGCAGTGATGAAACATGGCGGCTTCGAGAAGAAGCAGTACCCGAGGTAGCTCTCTCCCACCCGCCCTACCCGCCCTACCATGAATGGTTTCTTCTAACAACTCACCAAAACGGCAGAAGGTCAGTTCGGAACTCGAGGTCTCCACCATACGGTGAGCAATTGGATGCTGTGCCTTCATACGTCGCCCGGCAATCCGCCGAACTTTGGTGCGGCCAACAGCGAATTCTGGAGGAACTTCTTCCGGAGCTCACCCAGGATGGTGCTGGGCAGTGAGGGGCAGGGGGGCAGGGCTGACGACTGTGTTGAAACGACAAGAAACGGTGTTTTGGGCATGTGGGATGGCCGCAGGGGGGGCGTTTTCTGGGTTGGAAGCAACACGTTTTGGGTTGGCCAAGTCTACCCTCCGAGTCATTATGGAAGTGGAATGAGCTCACCACTCATCTACTTAACCATATGAGTCTTTCAGAGTGTGAAAATACCTCCCAAATACTTACATTCCGCCAAACACTCCCAGCCAGCTCGTGTCCCTCAGCTGTCAGCACAGTTCTGAGCTGTTGCGCGGCGAGGAATGTGTCTGAGCTGCTGGACCGAGACCAACACAACTGTGTGCCGAAGGTGGTGGCCATTGCAGCGGCGCATCTGCGACTGTGGAAAGAGCTGGCCGAAGGGAAGTTGCAGACGAAAGAGGTGGAGGAGCAGACGAGAGAGAGAGAGAGAGACGAAAGGGGGAAGAGCTCTATAGAAGCTGAATGAACGATTTTGGACCGCCCCAAGCATGATCATGTCCTATCAAAACAGGTCGGTCATGTTTGGGCTCTAGGCAAAGAGGGAAGAGGAAGAGGCGCTTCCTCCGGCGGAAGAGTGGTGGTGGACCAAGTGGACCACAAAAAAACCATTTGGCCGGGCCCAAGGGGTCGAGGCCGGTGATTCCATCTCACCGCTGTTTTTCTTGTTGGCCTCGGGAGAAAACCACCGCTGTGATCGGCGTATGCGCCCTGGTCGGCTTGGCCCCCTTGAGACCGCCGTTCGGCCTGACGTCCGAGTTCGCGTCTGAACGCCACAAGACGCCACCCTCTCACCTGAAAAATGAAAGCACGCACGTCTGCCACGGAAAGGTCAGATGAGTCTTAAGGGGGTTCAGTCTCTTATTTATAGAGTGTAGACAGACGCTCCAGGATGGTGTCGCTGTCGCTATAGGAACTCCGACAGGTGCGGTACAAGCCAAAACGGTGAGTACAAGATAGTACAAGCCCGTGAAAGACGGAAGAAAACGGTCTTTAGGACACCTCTAAAAAGATTAAAAAAGGAAGTTCCTTTACTTGACTAAGGAATTTCAGCATCGAACTGGACTTCCAGGGCAAACCTTTGACTGCCTCGCCTTTTTTGGAGACGAAATGCACGTTGACGAACTCGAAGCGCCCGGGGCACGGAGACGAGAACTCGAACGAAAGAGAGTTCCACCATGGTCCTTCGAGCGGTGTGAACCGTTTTGTCGTCCAAAAGGTGTTTGTGTGTGTTTCTTTTGTGTTTGATTCGCCAGATATAGCATAGGCAGCTATAGGCTATAGGCGATAGCGGCTAGCCCCGCAACTTTTCAGTTGTAGCCGCAGGAGAAAGATCCATGGTACTTGGTCATGGAGGAGGATGTTGATTTGTGCCCCTACTGGCGACAGAGGATGGAGAAAGAGCTGCCTCAAGCACCGGCAGATGCTGAAATCATCAAGTTATACTTCTTTGGGCATTGGCGCAAGGAGGATGAGGTGGACAAAAGTTGTCGAAAGAATGGATATCCGTGGACATTTCGAAGAATGCTCACCACTCCTGGAAGTAGAATGACAGATCTGAGTGCTAGAAAGTCAGAAATTCGACCATTGAAGCTAGGAGACCGGGGCGGTGTTGACGGACTAAGGGTACAAAGGTGACAACATGCAGCAACCTTCAATGCAAAGACAAGGGATTTGAGTCAGCAACAGGGCCTAACCATAGATGTGTCAGGTTCAGACACATCAAGTGGGCATAAGTGAACACATAGTCCGAGATGCGAACTTGTGACCCTCTATTTTGTTTGTATGACATGCGAGCGAAAGAGGGTGCATCGGTGCACGGGTGCATTTTGCGTGACATGCCAGATCTAATTCTCATCTGCCGCAGACTGATGCCTTGATGTGATACACTTTCTGTCTGCCATTGATTCCATCCAATCCATCCGACCTTCTCACTCTGCATGAGCTCAGGCCTTCCAACCACGCAATCTTCTCCCCAAAACGCTCCGGCCAGGTGAAGGTGTCCGTGCGCAACGACTCCGAGCCGGCTACGGTGACGCCCTTCCTGGACGCGCGCGATCCCTTGCGCGGCTTCGATTTGTTCAAAGCCGCCAGCTACGAGTTCCTGCACGGTGCCTCCTGGTCCTCCGTGCCGGTGGCCGGCTTCTATGCTGGAACGCAGGTCGGCCGCCCGCGCGACGACCCGCAGCGCGAGGCGACCGTCGTCGCCGTGCGTGTCGCGATTGGTCGTCGTTCCGTCGGGCGGTCGCTGGGAGAGAGAGAAGGAGGAGGTGTTTTTTTTCGGTGGGTGGAAGGGGAGTGGGCGGGATGTTGTCGGTGAAGGAGTGGGATAGTGGGAGAGCAATCTGATAGTGTGAGGTTTTGGGAAAGAGATCATCAGATTCATCACTCACCATAGTCACCAGCCTAGTCTTCATCAGTCAAGCAGCCGAAAAAACTGGCGGCGACTCGTCACGTCACCGCGCCTTGAAACATCTGTGTGTGGCCAACGTTGCTTGGAGAGACTCTGCGCCGCTGTGCCGTTCCGTGCTCGCGTGCGACTCGCGTGCGACTCGCGTTGCGACTCGCGTGCGACCAAGCGCCAGGCATATTTGATTCGGCCCTCATCGGCACGGAAACTTTTGAAGCAGATCCGGGGGAAGCCCTTTCAGGCGCACGGGATGGGCGGCGGCCATGGCCACGGATGGGGGGAGTAGGAGGAAGTCAGACCGCCGAACGGTCCAGGTGAGATGGGATGTATGTTGGTTGAAGTGAATGAGAGTTTTAGGTCGGTTCAAAACAGGTATTGCTAGGGTCGACCGACCTCGATGCCGATGCAGTGTGTGAACAGGGATTGTGGTCATCCATTGTATGGGCCGGGAAAGAAACCACCGCGATGCAGCCCGACGGACTTGACGTTTGGGGCTTGGGGGACCTGCCGGTGCCCCCCCCTCATTCCACCCCCTTTGTCCTCGTTCTTTCGTCGCAAAGGACCTCCTCCCCGGGACCGGTCGCAGGACATTGACATGACGATGATGCTCTCAGCCAACAACTACGTCTGGCGACGGGTCTTGGCACAGGGAAGGCCCGAGAACGTGGACCTGTTGCAGGACTGGGAGAGGGGGGGAAAGAGATGGGAAGAGATCAAAAAGAAAACAGTCGCACTTGAGTCGGTGTGCGCCCACAGCTCGGAAGCGGAAGGCCGTCCACACCATCGTCTGGCCCCGTGAGGGGCAGGTCTCTCTTGTCCTTCCCTTATTAGGAAGCACGAACTATCAGAGGTCGAACCAGGTCATTGCAAACACGGATAGGCCTCCGATCACAAAAAAACTTGATGTCCTCAAGACCCCTCCTGCGGACCTGGTTCGAACATCTGAGCGCAAGGCCTGTTTGTGGTGGGCCAACTCCCACCGCACTAAGATCGATACCCCTGATGTCCAAAGAAGGGAAGTCAAAACAAACCGAATAACTCCGAACACACGAACGAACCAACCGAACAACCGCCGCTAAAGTCTGAGAGGATTTCAAACAGCCACCACTGGACTTCGAGGGTATCCACTGACCTTTACGGGTGCCAGGGACCGGAAGGTCACCATCAAACCATCTGTGGCACCAAAAAGCTAACTCCAGCCAAGAAACTGCACAAGGTGGCTGGGCATCATCCGAATGTTCCATCAACAAACGGATCAGCTGGATGCCAAAATGACCAAAACTAAAAGAAAGCTCATTCATGTGAGCCACCCCGCTCCAGTTAGACGGAAGCACATCTGGAAACGTGTCCACATCTAAAGTATGACGGGGAAGGCAAACGGGTGTCACCTCCTCAACCGCCTCTGCCTCTCTGAACGCTGCCTTGTGCAGCTGGGTCAACCGTTGCCACTCACTGCCAATGTCACAGTGCAATTCTTGCAGGGCTCGAAGCGTGTGCAATTCAGCATTCTGAAAGCGAACTAGATCGAACCACAAGCCACGCACCTCATCACTATAGCAGGAATAGGCTGCGGCGGCAGCCCTGTCAGCTAACTGGTTCCAGTGCGCAGCCCACGCCTGTACAACCCCTTCACAGTCTTTTTCATCACAGTGAGCCGGAATGTGACGAACAACAAAAGGATGTTGAAGCTGTTGCAAGAGTCGACCACCAATTTCCCACAGATCACTATTCGATTCATATGGGGAGTCATGAACCCAGGCCTGCATTCTCCATATCCCTACAGCTGTATAGGCACTGTCGGTCCAGCAAGCTGTTGGTCCATCATGTTGCTGCGCCCATGACAGCGCACCCAGCAGCGCAACCAATTCTGCCCTGTCACTGGAGTGACAGAAACCTGGAACGACTCCTGCCGATAGAGTCCTTTCATGAGTGCTGGAAACAATGGCCCATGTCGAAAGACCACATTCAGGCATATCCGGGCACATGCAAGATCCGTCCGTGAACAGGTCTACCCAGCCATCAACCGGCACCGTGCTTTCAAAGTGAAATCTTGGGCAACCAAGTGGGCCAAGGGCACGTTGATATCTGCTCCAGCCTGGAAACTTTTTTTGGCAGAAGCCGGTGACGTTGAGACACCGCCATCTCATGCCATCTAGCCCGAATTGCTGCATGTTTCTGGTGAACAGATGTCAGCTGAGTGCACACCATGCAACGATGGTCCAGGTCGTCAGGCACCTGGCAGAAGGGACACAAGGCTGCTGTGAAGTTGTCATACTTCGACTGTTGCACAGCTGTACAGAAGGCACCTTCTTGAAGAGATGCAACCTGAGCTTGCTGTCGACCTGTCAGCTGTCGTTGTGCCCTCCTAATGACAACCCAATTGATCAGCTTCAGGCCAGCATAGTCCTTTCTGTTGCTCACTTCACCCGAGATCCAGTCCATCCATGCATCCTCAAGTTGCAGCAGCAATTGAGGTTCAGGCACACCAAGCAAGTCAATCTCAACTCCATGGTGATTGCAGACTATTGGAGGCATGACCACCCTCCACCCCAGAGGTTCCAGAACTTCAAGCAACTTGGAAAACGGACCTGCCCTGAGCACTCCGTCAAAACCTTTGAAGTGTTGCACCCACAGGTCCAAAACCATTTCTTGTTTCGCTGCCATTCGACGGAAGTCGGTCACCACCCGAACTGTCTGGTAAAAGCCTGGATCAGCCTTCACAGGGGCAATGAGCGACATGCGAATCAAGGGAGATGCTCCAGCTCCTCCATGTGCCAACGCTTTGACCGCTGCAGTGCGAAGAGATGCTATATGAGAAGGACCCAGCAAGCACACCGACACTCCATGCAATGCTCTTGGCCAAAAGGCCTGTTGCAGCACCATGTATTTGAGACGATCATCAGCCCCGAGTTTGCGCAATCTCACCCACAGATCATTCAGTGATGCCAGTCTAGCCCGTTGCACCTCAATTCTGCGAGCCCCAGTGTAGCTGTGCTGAACTCCAAGATCACCTGCACTCGTTTTCACATCCAGGCCCATGACCTCCAAGGCACCTTTGTCACTGGCTCTAGTAGACCAAGTTCAAGATTTTCGAAGATCCATATCCAGGGTCCAGAGATGAAGGAATTCCTGAAGCACAATCTGGCCACGTTGCAGATGAGCCACCTCCATACTCAACAAACCCAGGTTATCAACAAATGACAACGGCACGGTCTCTGGAGCAAAGTGGTGCATGTAGAAATGAAAGCAAAGATCAATGATGCCCATGGCATAACAGCTCATAGCACAGCCCTCTGGAACTCCTGAGGTTGAATCTAGTGGCGGTCCAACCTCGCCTCTGACAACAAACCTCCGAACCATGCCATGCAAGAACTGATCCCAGGCTTGAATGATCTCTTGAGGAGCACCAATATGCATCGCCAGTTTGAAGACAGGGAGTCTTGGAATGTTTTCAAAGGCCTTCTGGATGTCAGTGACCAAACCTTGCATGTCGGTGTTTGATCCTACACACAGCTCAATCAATCCTTGAACCAGGAAAGAAATTTGCAACGCTTCTCTGCCCGGAAGGAATCCCAGTTGAGTGTCAGCAGCCATGTCAGCTAAGTGTGCCAGAAGCGGTCTCGCTCGAGCTGTTGACCAACTGCGATATATGGCCGAAAAGACAATAATGGGTCGAAAGTGTGCCACTTCCGAAGCTGTTGCCGTTTTGGCCAAGCAGGCTACAAATCCTGTTAATAGCTGAAGCGGCCACTGGATCTGCTGAAGCTCAACTGCTTGCAACAAGTCCAACAATGCAGTCTGGAAGCCAGCTGGCGCGTGTTGGAGATCTCTCCCATGAAAACCGTCCGGTCCCCGAGCTGCTCTATCATTGTAGCGTGCATTCACATGTTGCCATGCATGCAAGGAGATGGCCTCATAAGCAAGCTTCCGTCTGGGCAAGAAAGCCTTGCCAAACGACAAGATTCGCTGCCAGTCCGCTTCTTGAGTTGTAGCATGCTTGCGCCAGCGTGCTGACCAAAACTCCAGCAAGACCTTCTGGATTGTGTCAACTTGCGTACAGAAGCTTTGGCATTCAATGCTCTGATCCGGCTGCAGCAAACAATCAGCATCAACTACACGGAACACATCGTCTTCCTTTCTCTCAAGCTGAATTTCAGCCATGCCATCCACTAGCCATATCTGACTATCATGCACCCCTGTACCTATGGCCTTTTCCAAATGAAGTTCACTGCCATCTGGCGACACCGCCATGATGGTTGTCTCCTCAGTTGTAGCCAGGGAGTCCAGATAATCTTTTTGATGCAAGCGAACCCGTTGAAACACTTTTGCCTTGTGTGCTGCAAGCTGGGCTCGGGAGATCTCTTGTTGACGCCTAAGCTGCCAGCTCTCATAGCGACGGAAGTTGCAGTTGAAATCAGCAAACAAACGCTCGGCAATATCCAAAGTCGGGACACCCGCCGGCAGTACTGCAGGTGACCCCTGCAGTTGCACTTGTCTGCCAAGCCACCAGCTGCGAAATCCATTGCGAAAACCTGATGCTTTGCAGATGGCAACCCAAGTCTCAAGCCTGTGTGCTTGTGCCGAGCCAGAATGATTGCCTGACCGCAGACTTTGAACTAAAGCTTGCAATCTTCGCAGCTGCCGAAACCACAATTGCACACCACGCCCAGCCAAATCTGACAGTAAACGCTCTTCTCCATGTCTGGCAGGTTTACTCAACGGTGCCTGAGGTGGTCGAAGCACTGGTTTGAGCATACTGCCCCGCCCTGTGGACCCAGGATGGAGGCCTTCTGCAGAAGAGGAAACAAAGCCTTGCAGACTGCCTTCAAAGGACTTCGCCCAGAGCTCAAATCTCTGAGTGCCATCTAGATTATCGACTTGCAATGCACTGGTACTTGCAAATTGTGCCTGCCATCCTTTAACATCCACCGTGGTCCAGTCAATAGCTCTGGGAAGCGGCCAAATCCAGTGAGGGACATTATGTCGCTGACATTGAAATGTTCCCCAAACCACCGAGTGGTCAGAAAAGGAGTCTACGACCGAAGCAGAGATGAATCGAGCTGCAAGTTCCGGGCTGACAAAGATCATATCCCGTTTGGTCTTGCCCTTGCAAGTCATTCGAGTAGGTTCACAATGCCGCTCAAAGTGGAGAGTTTGGACTTCTATCCAACCCATTGATTTCCAGACCTGTATGGCTTCAAGTTGGTCCTCATCATGATTGAAGTCCCCCATGATGTAGCGGCAGCCCCCTCGTCTGAGCACGAGATGTTCAGTCACCTGTTGCAGCAACCTGTTCGTGTGCCATCTAGCCTGTGGCCATGTCGGCCCCGGACTCCATCCATAAATCACCGCACCGGAAACACCTAGGCCGCCCACCCAATGATGGCAAAGCGCAACTCGACCTGCACTGTACTGACCCTCAGGCCAAGGAACATGAATGGAGCGTCCAGGCCAGTCACTGATGTGCATCACCCCTGCCCATGTACCTGCAATTTCTGAACGTGCCCGCAAAGGTACTGGAGCTCCCGGATGAAGTCTCCAGTGTCGATCATGTGCCATCCCAATCTGTCGCAATCGGGCCAGACCAGGTGCCATGCCTGCAGAGCTCAAATGTGTCTCTGCAACCCCCCAAATTCCTTCTGGCAATGTGCCATAAACATGCTCTTTGCCATGAAGACCTGATGGATTGCTTGTTCCAATGCAGAACACATCGTCTACACCAGTCCAAGATGGCCCCGGATGTCGAGCTTCCCCCAGCCTGAACTTCCATGCTGGCCACCGCCAAGGCAAGTGAGCACT